AAAACAATTTACAAAGTGAATGCTTACAACAAATTGTTTCCCAAAATCAAGTACTTATTACGATGATTCAAAACATATCTAATATTATATCTTTTCTTACAAATTCTCAAAATACACACCAACCTTATGTTCCCCAGAACAATGATACTATTCTTATTAATACTCAAAATACACATCAGCCTTTGGTTCCTCAGAACAATGACACTATTCTTACCAATTCTCAAAATACTCGTCAGCCTTCAGTTCTCCAGAATAATGATACTATTCTTACAAATACACCTCAACCTTTGGTTTCCCAAAACAATGTTACTACTATCTCTTCTCAAGAATTATCAAACTAACATCAAATCAATATTTGTGATTCTTGCATGAAGACCAATTTTTCTAATCAAACTATGAGTGTATCAGTTTCTCAGATTAACAATAATCAGATAATTTCTAATCAAGTTAATAATATTCTGAAAACTTCTAGTCAAGATATAGCTGTGACTCAGCATATTTCAAATTGCACTACCAATGTAAATGTTAATTCCTCCTCATAGAAACCTGGATATTTTGTTATCATCTTTGGTCTTACCATTTTAGTAGTAGGAATTATTTTTTACATTATCAAACAATTGTTGGTCGTATCTGCATACGAAGAAATTGGGGCCTTGTTCTTTACTATAAAAATAGATTTAGCCCAATTTGTAAAAATATTGGGCCCTACTATAATTGGTGGCATTATTAATTTGATCATGAAACACAGGAATAGTATTAAAAAATAATAATATGTTTTTTTTTTCATTTGGATGTAGTTAAATAGCATGAATTTTTAGATACATATTTGTCAAATTAATTTTTCTGTTTCTTCTTTTTTGATTAATTATCAGTTAACCATTTTTGATTAGATTTGTTCATTTAAAAACTTTTATTAGGTATGGCTTTTTTACAATAGTGGCTTTTATTTGAGGGAAATTTAGGATTTTAAGATTTACTATTATTCCAAATAATGTTTGCCATTTATTTACGATTTAGGAAATTGCAATAATAAAGTCATTATAATATTTAGCTTTTGGATAATAAAAACTGCATTTACTTTAGAATATGTCAAATACACGAAATTTTGTCACATAAGCAAGAAAAAGACACGTTATTCAGAATTTTATTTGTCAGGATTTTGACCCAAACCCATGTTATATAATTCAATATCAATATTGTTGTAATATTTAAATAGAGATACTGTTACCAATTTTTATTAAAAAGAAATAGATAAAATGAATTAAATATAGAATAGGTAGCATAGTGGGCTTTCATTGTAATTGGCTGGTTTTTGTAGATCATATCGTGATATTGCAAAAATATCATTGGTTAATCAAATACAAAACTAATTATCATAATGACTAAATATTCAATATTGTATAGAATTAATTTGTCTTAATAAATACATTACTATGAAATTTAATACTCAGAGTCTAAGATCATAATCCTGATACAAATAGAATCATATAATCCAAAATCTTATTTTAAAAAAAAATACTATTACACGAATTAAAATAAAATAATAATAAGCACAAAAAAAAATAAAATATTTATTATAAGAGACAATAAAAAATTACAATATATAACAAATTTTAATTGTTATAATAACAGTTAATTAATACAAACTGAATTTAACTCTAATCCTAAATTAATAATAGATGTAACAAACACTACGCTTAAATATTCTTAGCTATAATACTATGTCTTAATCTCTTACAAGTTCGCAAGCTTATATTTTTATTGCTTCATGTCATTAAGCAGTTTTACAGACAGTACACGTCTGTCTTTAGAATAATAAATAAGTTATAAATAAAATAGATTAGTGATGTAAACCTTTTAAATTTACTGTCATTTCACC